TGAAGGGTCTCTTCCCGGCTTGCAGACAGCTGCCTGCCTTCTCTCTGTGTCACATGTGGCAGAGAGACAGAGTGTGCTCTGGGGTCCCTTCCTCTTCTTATAAGGGGACTGATCCCTTCATAGGCCCCCCTCCCCTTGACCTCACTTAACCTTAATCACTTCCCCAGAGTCTCATCTCCTGAAACCGTCATCACCTTGGGGGTTCAGGCTTCCATGCATGAACCTTAATGTCCCCGGGGTGTGAACGTTCTGTCCGCAGCAGGGCCCCGTTCTTCGCCCTTGGTCCCTCGCCTCCTCACAGTGGTGAGTCTGACTCTGGCCTTCTCTGTGCAGGAGAAGCTCCTGACGGAACGGGAAGTGGGTGCCCTGCGGAGCCAGCTGGAGGAGGGCCAGGAGGTGCTCGCCCACCTGCAGGCACAGAGAGTGGAGCTGCAGGCCCAGGTAGGCACCCATCTGCCGTGTGTGTCGGGGCTTTCTGTCACACGAGACACACCTGTGTACCCTGGCAGGAACAGAACATTCTGAGGAGGTGAGCCGGGGCCCTGCTTTGCCCTGGGCTGAGGGGGTTCCCAGAATGTGGGACTATCAGTGCCCAAACTGGAAAAGCCCTGGGCAAATGAAGATAGGGCCATGTTCATTCCCCGGGGTCCCTCTGAGACTCCTGCAGGTCATATCCTGTCCCACGCAGAGGGCGGCTCTCCCGCCTTCTGCATCGTGGATTTATTTAGCGCAGATTAAACTGTGTGAAAATAAAAAGAAAGGGGCACATACTGGATTTTTATCTTATTCTTGCTTAAATCTGTGCTTCGTGCCTGTCTTCTCATGGTAAAATTTCTCCTTTGGGATTTGATTACAGACCTGGAAAGGGTGGTTGTGCGAGCCTTGGCCTCCAGTTTGAAATTTGAAAGCGTAAAGCTCCCATTTCTGTTCCTACCCCCTTTTGGGTAAAGCTTAATTTGAAAACCATACTCAGCAGAAAAGCTTGATCCTGTTTGTGTGGCTTCCTCCCTGGGTACCGAGCTTCCTGGTGCGTCCTCCGGGTTCGTTTTCTGTCTCTGGTTGCCAGCCAGCCGGCCATTCTGAAGGGGAAGGGTGGGTTGAAACGCTGCACCTCCATATGGCTGAGCACCCACATTTCCCAAACCAAAGGGACATTGGGTTTGATAAGTACACAGAAGGGGTAAGAGGGCAAAACATTTACAAATCTGTGTGTTACTGTGTCTCCGTCCTGCCAGTTCCCATAACATTGGAAAGAATTTCAAATCAGACATTTCACCAGACGTGCTTTCTTCAATATTGAGCACCCTGCACATCTGCTTAGGGGTCTCATTGTGGGACCTCATTCCCACTCACACCACGCACTGCACACCCTCACTGTGTAGCAAGATGGGGCCGGGGGGTGGGGGTCCCTGGGCTGGAGGTTACGGTGGGAAAACTTAAATAATGGCCTAAAACTCATCCTCTTATGAGATAAGCTCTGGCTCTGGGATCAGATGCCCCATCTTGGTGACATGGTTGTGAGTGTTGTGTGTGGTTTCTTCTGAGGAGCTGAAATGATAGGAGGAGGGTGTGTGTGTGTAGTGTGATTGGGACATGGGGTATGTGTATGTGTGGTATGTGTGTGATACGTGGTTTGGGTGGTATATGTGTATGATTCTAACAGGTGTATGTAGTATGTGTGTGTATGTATGATGTGTGGTTTGAGTGGTGTGTGATTGTGACGTGGGGGGTATATGTGCGTGCTATGTGGTGGGGTGGTGTGTGTATAGTGTGTGTAATGGGTGTGGTGTGTGATTGTGGTATGTGTGTGTGATGTGTGGTTTGGGTGGTATGTGTGTGATTGTGCTGTGTGGTATGTGTATGTGTGTGGGGTGTATGTACATGCTATGTATGTGTATGTATGTGATGGGTGTGGTGTGTGTGTAGTGTGTGTGATGAGTGTGATGGATGTGGTGTGTGTACTGTGTGTGATGTGTGTGTGGTGTGTGGTAGTGTGGTGTGTGTGTGATGAGTGTGTGGTAGTGTGGTGTGTGTGTAGTGTGTGTGATAGGTGTGGTGTGTATAGTGTGTGTGTGGTGCGTGTGATGTGGTATATGATATGCATGCTATGTGGTATGTGTCGTGTGTATGATAGGTGTGCGGTGTGTGTAGTGTGTGTGATAGGTATGCGGTGTGTGTAGTGTGTGTGATGTGTGCTGCATATACGTGACTAGTGAAGAGGACACAAGCCCAGTCATGTCTTTCACCAGCATTTTCCACACTGCTGGTTACAGCGTGTTGCTGGGTGTAGAACGAATTCCCAGGAATTGGCTGGCAGTGCAAAGCAGTCTGAAGCCAAACAGAGTAAGAATTAACAGAGTGTGCCCTAAGTAAGGAGGGCGCGTTTACCCGGGGTGGGGGGGCCTTTGTTCACCTCCCTCTCTCTTTGCTCATACGCATGCCTGTGCACGCGTTTGTCAAGGCTGATGGCTTGCCTTGTGAAATGGGCCTTTTCCTGTGGCTGTGGGGACAAAGTTGAACACCGCTGCCCTGCATACTGAGAAAGATGAAAGAGCTGGGCCCATAGGTAAATTCCAGTTCCAGGACAAAGAAGTTTCTCTGTGTACATGCATATATTTATTAAATATCAAAATAAGAAATTTCATAATGGATTAACCTAGTTTCTGAGAATAGAAAAGGAAACTGTCTGGTTGGCCATCTGCTCCTGCCCTTAGTTGCTCCAGAAAGATGTGCTAGCTTGACTCTGAGTCGAGTCTGTAAGGTAGGTCTCAATCTCCTCTTCAGTGCTGCCCCCCAGCCCTCACCTTTGGCAGTGTGATGAAGCTTTCCTTCTCAGGAAAATGATGTTAAAGGCATGGCATAAAGCACAGATAATTAAAATGAAACAATTATATTGAAATAGTTATCAAAATATTACCAAATCATTTCATATAAAATAATATGTGCACTTATATTCATAATGAGATCTAGCAGCTGGTCTAAGGAGATTAATTACTGCAAACCAGGGCTTTGAATAGCACTCGGTTGTTGGCACGTAGTTGTGAAGGTCCGAAATCTGGGCGGTTTGGTTGGTGTCACAAGGCTGAAATAAAGGTGTCAGCTGGCCTGGGCTCTCGTCTGGGGGCCGTTGGGGGAGAATTTGCTCCCAGGCTCACTGAGGTTGATGGCAGGATTCAGTTCTGGGCACCTGTATGACTAAGGGCCAGTTCTCTGCTGGCCGTTGTCCAGGGTGGCTGTGGCGCTCATGTTCCTTGGCTGCCCCTGCCCCCTTCAGAGCCAGCAGCAGATTGTAGACTCTTTGTTGTGCATCGGTCTGACCTTCCATTTCCACGTTCCACTGACTTCTACATTTTTTTTTTCTTTTTTCCCAGGCAAGCTTGCTCTGTTGCCCAGGATGGAGTGCAGTGGCATCATAGCTAGTTCACGACAACCTCAAATTCCTGGGCTCGAGCAGTCCTCTTGCTTCAGCCTCCCAGTAGCTGGGACTACAGGTGTGCACAACCATGCCTGGGTATTTTTTTATTTTTTGTAGAGATGGAGGTCTCACTGTTTCCCAGGCTGGTCTTGAACTCCCATCCTCAAGTGATTTTCCTGTCTTGGCCTCCTAAAGTGCTGACATCATGGGCCTGAGCCACCATAGCTGGTCTGATCTCTGCTTTTATGGTCTGGTGTAATTAAGGGTAATTTAGAATACTCTCCTTTTAAAAAGACTAGTTAAGAACCTTCATTACATCTGTAAAGTCTTTTCTGCCATGTAACATATTCAGGGATATAACACTAAAGGGCAAAGATTGTGGGCGTCAGAATTCTGCCTAATTAGCTTTAATTAAAACTCAGACTTGGCTGCCCCCCCCCCCCAAGAGTTTCAGACTCACAAGGTCTGGGGTATGTCCTGAGACTGTACATTTTCAAGTTTCCAGGTAATGGTGATACTGCAGGCCCAGGAACTACACTTTGAGAGCCACTGGTGTAGGGTGGGTCCTAGAATGTTCTCCACCTAATCCCCCTGGGGTCCTAGGCTTGGGCCCTCCATAGCCTCATTCAGAACGTGCATGGCTGGGTTTTCCTTCCTCTCTGTTTTAAAAGGTTTTAGTGGCTTTTAAGGGACATCTGGCTGTACACCTCTCAGCAAGGCCAACACTGGTTGGGGACATGGGGAGGACTCGGGAGGGGGAGCTTCTTGTAGCTTCAGGCTGGGCTGTGGCAACTGATTCTGCTTATAGTTAAGGCATCTGATGCTTCCAGAATCCAACATAGCAGAGGTCCTTGGGGTGAGTTCCCTGTCCCAGCAACATCAGCATTACCTGGAAACTTGTCAGAATTCAAATTCCTGGCCACATTCTAGACCTGGTGAACCAGGAACTATGGGGTGGGGCTGGCAATCTTTTGTTTTATAAGCCTTCCCAATGATTCCACAGGCTCAAGTTTGATAGACGCTGGGCCTAGGATGGAAGGAACAGCACATGGGATTATAGCTGCCCCCTCCCCAACACCAAATAAGCTGAGCAGGGGCATTAAGGCCCCTGGAGAAGGTAGTCTGTCTCCTTAAATTGTACCAACTGAGTTTATGTGACACGGAGGTGGAGAAAATCATATAAATTGCAAAGTGGAACTGGGCATGGTGGCTCATGCCTGTATTCCCAGCACTTTGGGAGGCCAAGGTGGGAAAATGTCTTGAGGCCAGGAGTTTGAGATCAGCCTGGGCAATACAGTGAGACCCTGTTTTTTAAAAGAAAAAAAAGAGAACTAGCGGCATAGTGGTATGTGCTTGTAGTCCCAGCTACTTGGGAGGTTGAAGAAGGAAGATCACGTAAGCCTAAGAGTTCAAGGTTACACTGAGCTATGATTGTGCCAGGGCACTCCAGCCTGGGTGACAGAGCCAGACCCTGTCTTTGAAACAAAAAAAGATTGCAAAGTGGGAGCCACTGAGTCTCCTGTCTCATTAAAGTCACTTACCACCATCTAGTGGTAAGATTTGAAAATACAGTGTGTAATCTTTTTATTTATTTAATTTTTTAAAAGACCTTGGATTCAAAGGTGTCTGGGATCCTAAGAGGACTGAAGCAAGAGCTCACCCCTCCGGATGGGGCTATGGGTCAGGCTCCTGCCCTCAGCTGCTCACAGCCCAGTGGCAAGTCAGATATAAAAGACGATCCAATGGTCCAGGCAGAAACACAGAGGTCACTTCACTGAGGATAAAGTTCAGGGTGCCATAGGGCCTGCGTCCCTGCTTCCCTCCCTATCCAGCATCCTCTTGGCTGCTGTCCTTGAGGTGACCCTGGGCCATCCTGTCTTCTCTTCCTCTTCTGACGCCTCCTGTGGTTTCTGAGACCTGCCCCTTTGCTTTTTTTTTTTTGAGACAGAGCCTTAATCTGTCCCCCTGGTTAGAGTGCTGTGGCATCACTGCTCACAGCAACCTCCAACTCCTGGGCTCAAGCGCT